AGAGGGATTATCCATCCAGCGCTGGGAACCACAGTGTGCACGAGAGGGATTATTCAACCAGCGCCGGGAACCACAGTGTGCACGAGAGGGATTATTCAACCAGCGCTGGGAACCACAGTGTGCACGAGGGTGATTATCCATCCAGCGCTGGGAACCACAGTGTGCACCAGAGGGATCATCTATCTGGCGCTGGGAACCACAGTGTGCACGAGCGTGATTATCCATCCAGCGCTGGGAAAGACAGAATGTGAGCCGGAGCAGGCCGTATCCACAGCTCGGTCACGCCCGCTGGGCCGGTCCCTTCTTCTCCCACAGGTCTCCCCTCTCCTGCCTCCTGGGGTCACTCTGCGCCCTTGCCCAGGGCCCTGCCAGCCCAGCGTCGGCCACCAGCCAGCGGGTCAGCTCCACCTAACTGCCGGGTCCAGCTCTCCAGAACCCGACGGGGACTTCAGATCCTGCTCACTTTCCCTGCCGGAACGCCCACACTTCCCAGCCCTGGTGCTGGCGAGCCACCAGATTCAGCCAATACTGTGATCACGGAGACCCCTTTACCCATTTTCTGTTTCTAAAAACTTACTAACTTACTTACGAATGCCTAAAGAAAAAAAACCCAAATCCCTTAACTAAGCAGACCTGAAAGCAATTTGAAAATTAGCAGATTACTTTTTTGAAAACCTAAACTGAACAAACTCCAAAGTGTTGAGAATTCCCAAGCAGAATCCTGGCCAGGTCACATGCAAGAGAACACATCACTCCTGCCCTGGAGTCCTCGCACTGGCAGCCTATCCGGTTTTGTGCAGACTTTGAAAAACTCATGCTCACCCATGAGGCTCAGCATGGCTTGGCACCACAGAACCTTTCTGATTCGTTATCTTTCTACTCCCCTCCTCGCACCCTTCTTTAATCTGACTCTGGTCCCCTGTCTGTCCCCTGAGCTTGTCCACTCTGTGGGTGACAGGGCTTCTCCTGCTGCACCCCAGAGCTCTGGAACTCTCTCCCGACGGATATCAGAGTCTCCCACCCTGAGCACATTCAAATCCAGACTCAGGAGCTTTCTCTTCAGAAACAGTGCTATCCTTATAACTGTACTTTAAAAGGTGCTATATAAATAACACGTATTTATTATTATTATTAATAATAATAATAATAATAATATTGGAGGAGTGGGCAGGCTACGCGTGGAAAGAGAGGGGTTCCCCACACCAAGAAATCAACTGTTGACAAACCCACCCTGTGCAAAAGTCTGCATAAAAGTTACTAACGAATGAACCCCCGTAAGGAAAATAACGCAAGACAAATTCTAAAACAAACGATGTATCGCTGCCTAATTTAAGTTGGAGACATACACACCCAGGCGAAGAAACGGAGCCCCTCGGACGCCAGGCTTCCAGCCGCCATCGATGTAAACAAACCAACACGTGTGGCGGCCGGCGGCTGCTGGTGACCTTCCCCCGGAACGCCGCCACGGGCAGGAAGTGCTGCCGCGCGTGGACCGCTCTGTCCGCCATGTTGAGTGTGGCGAGCAGGCTGCAGTCTTCAACACCGCGCACGGAGCGCTCTGTCTCTCCGGTTAATATTGTTCGCACTTTATTCTTAATTATAGCGCCTTTAAAGTTAGAACACAAAGTAGACCAGAACCTTCTGAGCGTGTGGAGAGGAGCAAACAGATAATATCGGTATATACTATATACTACATACTATTTACGATATACTGAAAAGTTAACACAACGTGTACTAGTCAGTTGCTTTGTAAGTGTATTTATAGAGATTCCTGTAAATAAGGTATTATAATATTCTGCAAGAGGTTCAAAAGTTGAAAAGGACAGAATATTACCCCCATGAAATTTGTAATTGTATTTATTTTTTCTAGATTATTTATATTTATACATATATTTTCTATTCTGAGATATCGTTTTACAAATATGTGCTCTATAAAGAACAGCATTCCAGCTGTTGATCTTCTTCACACCAGAAACATTGTGTGTCTTTCCCTACAGTGGGAGCTCTCCTGCACAGAGAGGAGCTGCACTTGAGAGAGATAAGATCACTTTATTAACCCTTTACAATTTCTTGCATTAGGAATTTGTCTTGACACAGACCCCAGCTTGCTCTCCATGAGACACACAGACAGGGAGAGAAGCTGGGGGTCAGAGCACAGGGTCAGCCATTTATACAGCACCCCTGGGGTGAAGGGCCTTGCTCAGGGGCCCAACAGAGTAGGATTCCTCTGCCGGCTGTGGGATTTGAACCGACAACCTTCCAGCCACAGGCAAAGGTTGTGAGCCACAGAGCCACCACACCACCCCCACTTGGGATACCAATTTGATATGACTGTTAATCTTATAATTAATTCATTCAGGTCAATTCGCCACTGTAGGAGCACCAGTGTGAGATCTGCTAGAGGGGTACTCCATACCCAGCAATGGAGAGACTGTTGTCATGTGTGTGAAAACGGTACAAAGCTTCCGCGCTGCTGGAGGCTTCAATCCAAGAGCAGTTTCATCTCTAGTCAGTGTTTCACAACACACGTGCAGATGTACGTTGCTGGGCGGAAGTGTGAGACGCATTCAGGAGCTACAACTTCAACACTTTACTCACAGTTTCTACTACTGTTTTCCACTGTTATTCCAGCTTTGACTGTTTTTAGCCAGTAGCCATGTCGCCCTGCAGCTCCCAGCTGGCAGCCCCACTGGAGCTCAGCAGTGTGAGCCTGGTCAGTACCTGGATGGGAGACTCCTGGGAAAGCTGAGGCTGCTGCTGGGAGAGGTGTTAGTGGGACCAGTAGGGGGCGCTCACTCTGCGGTCTGTGTGGGTCCTAATGCACCAGTATACTGGTGGGGACACTATACTGTAAACAGGCGCAGTCCTTCGAATGAGACATAAAACCAAGGTCCTGACTCTCTGTGGTCATTAACAATCCCAGGGTGGCTCTCGAGAAGAGTAGGGGTGTTACCCCGGTGTCCTGGACAAATTTCCCCCTGGCCTTTACCAGTCATGGCCTCCTAATAACCCCCCTCTCTGAACTGGCTTCATCACTCTGCTCTCCTCCCCACTGAGAGCTGGTGTGTGTGAGAGGACTGGAGCATCATCCAGGTGGGGGTACACACTAGTGGGGTGGAGGGGATCCCCATGACCTGTAAAGAGCTCCGAGTGGAGGGACCAGAAAAGTGCTATATATGTGTAAGCAACTATTATATATATATTATTGTTATTATATTATTTAAACACAGCTTAGGGTGGGTGGGAGGAATCCAGTCTTGTCATTTAGGAGTCTGTAAATCACCTGAATCCAATTCTGCAAACTGCAGCAGTTAAGCAGCCGATATGAAGAATGGTTGGAGACAATAATCCATCAGGCTCACCATCAGATCTAACTGGCTGGTTGTCAGGGCAACCTCCTCATTGACGCGGCCCCTCTCTACACCTCTCGAGAGCCGAGGGGCCACCTCATGTACCAGTACAGAGCTCACAAAACACAATGACCCCCCAGCAGCAGAGTCACCGTAGAATAGTTTCTGCATTGAGAAGAGGCAGAGCTCTGTGAGAGAACAGTGAAAAAGACAAAGACTCTTAGACTTTTGCTTTTTCATCATTTTCATCTTTAATGTCATCGCAGTTCTTAATAGATGGGTGGCAGAGTGTTGATAATATTACGATCATTGATTGATTGTGTTTTTGCACTATTAATGCAACTATTAATGTTCTCTTTGCATTGGCAAAACTACAACACACGCTTCTACCCCAGGAAATCAATAGCAGATAAAAGAAACTATACAATCAGTCAATCAATAAATAAACAAACAAACAAGACCTGATACTCCTGTATAGCAGCCAAGAAACACCCAGAATTCTTTGGCTCTTGCAGACGCAGGGCGGCGGGGAGAGAGAAACGGGTTCGAGGCAGCGGGAGGGAAGGAGGGAGAGACTCATGGGAAGGGGGCGGGAGGTTGATCTGAGAGAGGAGCGGAGAAGGTGCTGTCAGAGTCGTATAGCATGGTATATATAGAATATACACCATATATGTGCTGTACATACAATATATATCAAATGTACCATATATATCTCATATATGACATGTATATTATATATACCACATATCTATATACCATCTACATCATACAGATCATACTTCACGGAATAGCTTCAGCCCATAGCCCAGGACAGAGAGAGAGAGAGGGAGAAGGAGAGAAGGAGAAAGAGGTGCACAGTCAATGCCGGCTCAGTCAAGGGTGCGGAGGGTGTGGGTATCTATCCTGCCACTGGGGGGGGCCAGGGCCATGCGTGGGGAGGGGCGTCAGACCCCCAGGTGCTTGTTGAGCCGGCTGAGGGCGTCGCCCACGATGTCGAGGTCGTGCCGCAGCTCCTCCACCACCCTGTTGATGCTGGTGGTGTCCCCCAGCACGTCCACGCTCTGGGTGTAGGGGTTGTAGCGCACTGTGAAGGGGCGCCGGATGGTCTTCGCAAACTCCCTGGGCAGGGGGGGGAACAGGAACAGGGCAGCTGAGACGAGTGGGCCTGACACCCAATTAGAGCCACATCACTGATCCAATTAAGCCATGACCCGCTCGGGCAGAGAGAAAGCCGTGACTCAGCAGGACTCAGAGCGAGGAGCGCTGAATCAGGGTTTCCAGTCCACCCTGGGGGCAGATTGGCCTCCCCAGGGTCACCACTGGGGGCAGAGAGCCATTGCTGCGTCTCTTTGACGCCTTGCTCTGCCGGCTGCAGGGAGGTCAGCCCCTCAGCCCAGCGCTCCTCTTCCTGCACGCTGAGCTGGGAAAGGCGGGCTTGACGTCTGCCGGGCATGGCCAGCCATAAACGCCACAGCGACTGACGAAGCTCGGCAGTTTCGGGAGACCTGTACCTCATCTTGAGCTTGGCCTCCTCGAAGCTCTCGGACACGAAGTACACGTCCTGGAATGTGGTGATGATGCACTCCTGCTTGCACGTGACCTTGGGGTCGAAGGGCATGATCTTGGAGTTCCCGGAGAGGGCATGCTGGGAAGGCAGGAAAACGTCAGGTCACCCTCAGAGGCCAGGCTATATCAACTTGGAACTTGGTCTTTCGAAAAGGGGACGAGTTCAGAGAGCAGACCCACAATCCACAAACCAACAAAAAACCGCAAGAAGACTTCAGTTCGTTTCCCGCCACCTTAGGGAGGAAATCTGAACTCATACGTCCTAAATGATTCAAGGGGAGCTGCAGTCACATTTTCTCCGACCTGTTGTTAAATCTCGCTCACAAATTCATTGACGGTACCGCAAAATTTGAAGTTCTGTAAGTTGCCAGATCGTCGCACACGCATTCAAGTGTCCACAATTTGCCACGTGAACTATTTTCCTTCCTGCTCACTAGTCCCTGTCATGAAGTCACGATCGCAAACCCCTCCTCTTAAGGGCGCTCCAGCCCTTCCTTGTTTTCCCACTCATCTCCCGCCCCTGCTCCCTGTTCCAGCCCCCTTTTCCAGTTCCCCCTTAAAAGCCAGACGCTGACGCTAATCTGGGCTCTGCATTGGTTCCTGTACCAAGCGAGTCCGGGACCTGGATGCACCTGGCCCAAGTTTTTAGTTTCTGTTCCTGTTCCCGTTCCCCCTGCCGGTTCCGACCCGGTTCTGGTTTTAATCGTCTGTCTTGGATGGATCTCCTGGCTTTGGACTTTTGCCCTGTTTTGGATTCCCCTTGTTGACTCCTCCCTGGATTGTTTGCCTCGGCCACACCTCCCCCCACCACCAGCGCACCATGGACACGCCCCCCTGTTCTCATCCCCGTCTCCTGCATGCTTTTCCCCGTGTTTTCTTCACTTTCCCTGGATTGTGTCGTCTGCATAGGGTCTGGAAAGAACGCTTCCCTGACATAGGACTGATGTACTGTGATGTACGAGCGAATGAGTGCAGGTTGTGCAGCAGACATCTCACTGCAGAGATGTCCCAGCGTGATCTGCATGCAGAGTTCACAAGTAAGTAGTATTTATTGGCAAAACCATCTCGAAGTCGAGAGCGATATTTCTGATGGATTAAAAGAGATGGGCTCACAAGCCTGCTTGTTTACAGTGTAATGTAAACAGCTGCTTCACCTCACTGGAAGTTTTGTTGCCTCGTTCCAAATTGCAGAACACGGCGCTGCACTGATCTGAAAATGTTGTCTATTTAGTGATGTAAACTGGAGGTTTTTACAAGTCACTGTGCACATTTTATTTTCATTGTGGTTTGAAATGCGCTCATCAGTGCCGATTCTTTCTAAGCCCAGAATAGAAAAATAATAATAATAATAATAATTGCTTACACTTATATAGCGCTTTTCTGGACACTCCACTCAAAGCGCTTTACAGGTAATGGGGTCTCTCCTCCACCAACACCAGTGTGCAGCCCCACCTGAATGATGCGACGGCAGCCATAGTGCGCCAGAACGCTCCCCACACACCAGCTCTCAGTGTGGAGGAGAGCAGAGTAATGAAGCCAGTTCATAGATGGGGGGTAATTAGGAGGCCATGATTGGGTAGGGCCAATGGGAAATTTGGCCAGGACGCCGGGGTTACACCCCTACTCTTTTCGAGAAACGCCCTGGGATTGTTAATGACCACAGAGAGTCAGGACCTCGGTTTTATGTCTCATCCGAAGGACGACACCTGTTTACAGTATAGTGTCCCCATCACTATACTGGGGCATTAGGACCCATGTGGACCACAGGTACTGACCAGACTCACACTGCTGAGCTCCAGTGAGTTGCCAGTTGTGAGTTGCAGGGTGATATGGCTGCTGGCTGTGCAGCCATATCACCAAATAGCACTGTAGCACCCCTTTGTAAATCTCTGGGACTCAAGGGCAGGTGTTGTACATGGTGCACAGGTCCACCCGTCATCGGAAAAAGGCTGCTCATTCCTGGTTAGAGTCCTGGCCGCCTGGAGTCGATCCCGGAGAGACAGGGACTTACTCCGGTCAGTCAAAGATCACCGTGCACACAAACGCACGAGGTCACCGCTGAGGCACCGGCTAAACCACCCGGCATGTTTGCGGGAGCCAGGAGGAAATGAGAGAGACGTGGGGAGAGAGCGTACCAGCTCCAGGGCCCCAGAGCAGACCGCTACCATACCGCCCTGCCTTTAAACCCTCTCCGCCCCAGGAGGATCTGACTGCACGAAGGTCATTCCTCACGAATTCGTCTCGGTGTGCGCGGGCGGTGCGCTCTTACCTTGAGCTCGCTGATGGAGGACAGCAGGCCCGCTCCGTACGCCCTCAGCTTGCCCTCCTGCTTGCACAGCCCGAACTCCACCGTGAAGAAGTAGCACTGGGACACACAGGGCACAGGGAGCACGTCACCGCGCTGGACAGGGGTGGCGCCGTGGAGCACGCTGGCAGGCGCGCTCCAGATCGGAGCACCGCAAAGACACAAAGTAGACAGCGGAAGAGCTGCAGCTGGAGGGAGGGGGGCGTTTACAATAACGAAGGAAGGGGAACCAGCAAATCAACACACAGGATTTTCTCTCTGCATTTCCTGTGGTGGCATGGCTGAGGATCACTGAGCCGCAGATCCGCCGATCACCACTAGAGGGCCAAGAATTCGGCTTATTACCCACAGCTCCCTTAGAAGGGGCAGCTGTACAAGATTCCCACAGGTGTCTTTGCGTTCGTCGCTGAACCTCGCCCAGCACTGAAGCTAAGACACACTTTCCCTTTTCTCTCCCGTGGCAGGAGACAAAAACGCCCTTTTGTTTCATTTTCTTCCACGATTTCCAGCTGTTTCCCCCGGGAACGACCCCTCGCGAGCCTTCAACCAGCGGTCTCGGCAGCGGCACTGTCTGACCCTCTAAAGAGCTATGAGACGGGCTTTGAAGAGTCTTCCCCCGGGGAGCTGGACTGGATCGCGCGGCGGGACTGCTGGGAGGAGAGAATTCCTGCCTTGCAAAAAGCACATCCAACTCTCCTCCCTGCAGGTGGCGCCCCCGTGTGGTCAGTGGAGCCGGGAGGCGGCACTCACCGTGGCCAGTTTCTGCACAGCGTCGTCCGAGGCCCCGAGCGACGCCAGGCCGATCTCCTGCGAGAACTGCGCGAAACTGGGCTCCGCCAGCAGGGGCACGTGGCCCAGCAGCTCGTGGCACGTGTCTCTGCAAGGGCACACAGAAAAGCTCACAAATCGGCCACCCATCTCCTACCCACTTTACCCAAGACAGCGTCGCAGGGGAGCCGGAGTCAAACTGGCCGGATACACCCTGGGAGGGACGCCAGTCCGTCTCAGGAAGCTCAGAAAAAAACAGTCATTCGGGATCAAATCTTCTTGATTATCATGGCCATTCTCCTAATCGAATGGGCGGGGTGGGTGGAGCGTGAACTAACAAAAATAAATATCGCTCTTTTGTCCAGAAATGCAATGAAACAGACAAGGCTAGCCCATGGGTGGTAGGTGGAACTTGCACCAGAGAAGACATAAGGGCGGATGACTGGAGGGAGACTTACGGTTCAGGTGTGTAGAGAGGATCAGAGCTGTGCCGCACGTACTGGGTACAGTGGAAAACCCGAAAGGCTAGGCCAGCGAGGAAATCTCTGGGGGACAGGTATCCTGCCACTGGTCGGATAGTGAACCCTGTGCGTTCTGGAACAAACGCAAAAGAGGTGTACGGGCTGTCAATCCCACTGCAAACGCCAAAGCCCAACAAATCCCACTGTTAACACCAACCCCAGTCCATCCCACAGTGGACACCAACCCCCAGCGAACCACACTGCTCCAGCCTTCCTCAGAAACCCGCACACATCCAGACAGGACTCTCAGATGACAGAGACCAAAGGAAAAGAGAGCAGGAGCTGTCACTGTGCCCTGAAGAGACAAGCAGGTTGTCACACTAGATGACCGCAGGTGCTTCCACGGAGACGACACCGTGCCACAGAGAGGGGACGGGGGGGCGCTGCTCTTACCCCGGAGGAACCGGGAGACGTCCTCCAGCTGGGGGATGTTATCCTCGCGGCAGTCGCAGTACTGGGAGAGCAGGGGCAGGTTCTTGAGGTACTCGCGGCAGGCATGCGTGGGGTACAGCTTGTTGAGCTCCCTGTACACCGTCCCCCAGGTCTTCACCTCCTCCTCTGTGAACTCGATACGGGGGATGGGGTCCCCACTGAGGGGGGAGGGGGGGGGGAGAAACAGTGAGACGGAGGCGCACAGAGCCCTGGCGGTCCTGTTGCTCAGTGCACTCTGGGATTCCCTTGTTGCTGTTATCAGTGGTAGCAGGAACTAGCAGGAGATCTGTTCTCCCTTTTCTCCCATCTGAGCTCCTTTTTGAGGACAGAGGACAAGCTGGATGTTGTTACAGAGCCACATGGGCAACGTGTCTAAATCTAGTGGTGGACACAATTTGATTAGCCCTGCAGTTTCTGCTTGTTTCGCTGTGGAGCGGGGCTGGCGTGCCTCAGACATGCACAGGCAACAAGGAACTTACTGCTTGTAGCTCATTGCCAAGTCCGCAAAGTACTTCCTCCTCTTGCGGTAGACGTTGTCTTTGAAGCCCTGAAAGGGACGAGAGCCAGTCGTCAGCCCTGCGGGGAGATGCTCACGCACAGCAGCTCTGCGTTGACTGCGCGGCTCTGCTCCCCTCTGCCTCCCTCTGCCTCCCTCTGCTCCCCTCTGCCTCCCTCTGCTCCCCCTCTGCCTCCCTCTGCCTCCCTCTGCTCCCCTCTGCCTCCCTCTGCTCCCCT